GCCCTGTCCAGCTGAGTGACCGGATCCACAGAGCCCTGTCCAGCTGACCCAGCGGGGACACTGCCAGGCTGCTCTGGGATGGCACAGGAGCACGTGCCATTGTCCTCCACCTGTGGTTTTGATCTCAGCACGTTTCTCTCTGATCACATGAGCTGGGCTCTAGATCAGGCAGGTGTCCATGCTGTTTCCAGGTCTGTATGTACCTGCACTAAGCACAAACCACTTTGTCTGGAAGAGAAACCAAATCCAAATTCAGCTGCGTCCTGCTGTCACCTTGTGCAGGGAGCCTGGTTTGTGCAGGGAGCCTGGTTTCCAGGGTGGGAGAAAAAGACATTTATCAGCATTTAAATTCAGACCACGTGGACAGGAAGTAACTGCTGATAGCAGCAGATGAGTCTCTTTTTGGTGATAGCTTCACAATCAGGGTACCTACAGCTACGACAACACAGGTCCCCAGTAAATACTGTGTGGGGAAGGTATTTTTATATATAGAAATATATATATGTTTGACCTTCTGCCTTCTTAGCTGCCCTGGTGTCCTGCCAAGCTAAGTGAGCTGCTTGGAGAGGGGAACTCTCCTCCCTGTGTACTGTGTCATATGCATGGTTCTGCTAAAAATATCCCCGATCCAGAGATTGGAATGAATGTCTTTTCCTCTTTTGTCTGATGCCCTTTTAATTATTAAATTAACGTGGTGACTTTTCGTCCCGTTCTCACCAATGCTCTGCACGCCAGCGAGGGGAGGAGCTGCCAAAGGGGTTTGGGGGGTGTTTCACTGAGCCCACGCCCACAGTGAACAGTTGCACACCACAAAAACTCACGTGGGCTCCCCCCGGGGGCGTGCGAGGAGCGAGGGCGGGTGGATCTGCGGATCTGCTTCCTGCTGGGGCGGAGCAGAACAGGAGCCCATGGCCGGCACCGGGGAGCTGGAGCGCTGCCTCAGTGAGTGGGGATGGGGATGGGCATGGGGGATGGGGCTGCCTTGGCCGCTGGCACCAGTGCCACTTCCAAACTGGGTGGGCACTGGGGCAGCTTCAGCTCTGTCACTTTTAGGGTGATGTTCATGGGTGCTGTCACTGTATCTCTCTTCCCCAACTCTCCTGTCCGTTCTCGACCACCAAAGCTGGTTGAACAACAACAGATTGGGGAGTGGATAAAGCAGAAAAATACTTTTTTCCCCTCAATTTACTGTGTAAAAGGGAAAACAGTGCCTGTGTTCCAGCACGGCATTTGCCGGATGGTCCTGGGAGAGCTGCCTGGAAATGGTTTTTAAGTTTCTGGTGCTAAAAGCAGTGTCTACTGTGGTCAGGTTGTGCCTGACTTTAAAAGTGTGCTTGGGACTGTAATTTTAGGCAGATTTTAGAAACAGCTGTTTCCTGCTCATCCCATTTCTGCTGCTAAAAGCCCCAGAGCAGCAGCAGCAGCGAGGCCTGAGCCACTTCCTGCCCTGAGCCGCTCACTCCTGCTGAGCCTGGGCTCTGCTGCTGCCTTTCTCACTTTTCTCCCTCTGTAAGACAAGGCCACTGACCCAAGTATCCCTGAGGAAAACTGGGAATGCATCCAGCGGTTCTGTGACCAGGTGAACGCCGACACAGAGGGGTAAGGCAGGGGCACAGCTCCTTGTGTCTGGCTCTGAGCTGCCCTCGTGGCTGGGGGGAAAGGGGCCTGGGGGGAAAGGGGCCTGGGGCAGCAGTGTGGGGAGCTGGAGAAGGAGCTGGGAATGGGCTCAGTGCTGCTCCTGGGAGTGGAAATGAGTTGGAAATAGGTGTATGCCAGTGTGGTTGGTGGAGGGTGATGCCTGGGAATGGGCTCAGACATCCATTGCTGGAACAGCACCAGGTGTCAGGTCCTGCTGGCTGTGCCCTCAGTAGCCCCTCTGGAGTCTGGCCAAGGATTCCTCATGGGGACTTCTGCATGGAAGCCCTGAGGGAGCTCAGCCTCAGCTTTTCCTTCCTGAGGGGTGGGTGGTCTCTGCTGGGACTTCCCCACCTTCCAGCTGATAGTCTGGGCTCTCTGGGAAGTAGCCAGGACTAATTAGGCAAATGACCTCTGAAAGCTTCGTGGTCATCTCTGTGCTTAGAGCAGGCAGCTCAGAGCTCATAGTCTGGCACCTGTGTGGTGCCCAGGAGCTGGCACAGACTGTCTGGGCTGTCACCAAAGTGGCTGTGGAGAGCCAGCTCTCCCTGCCTGCCCAGAGAGATCCCCCAGCCTGTCCCTGCTGCTCCCTCCAAGGGACAACCCCGGGCACGGGGGAGGGCAGCACTGGGATCAGCGCTGGGATCAGCACTGGGATCAGCACTGGGATCACTGGGCTCCAGCTCACCCCCTGTGTGTGTGCCAGCCCCCGTCCAGCACTGTGCCCGAGGAAGGGTGTCTCTCCTCTTGTGAATGCAGCAGTTGCTCTCCTCTGCAGAGCAAAACCAGCAGCATTTCTTTTTCCTGGGAACTTTGTGACCTGACTTGCTTCTGCTCCTCCCCAGCCCGTTGCTTGCGCTGAGGCTGCTGGCACATAAAATCCAGTCCCCTCAGGAGAGGGAAGCTCTCCATGCACTCACTGTAAGTAACTTCCATCCACACTTGGGAACAGAGTTGGGTGGGTAGAACAGCATAGCAGACAGTACAGCTCTCTCTTCTCTTAGATGTCTCTCCCTTTCTGTTTTTCTTGGATGTCTCTCCCTTTTAACTTTCCCTTGCACCAGGAATACAGAAACCAGGGCAGAGCAGAGGGAGTAGCTGCTGCTGTTCCTCCCCACATCACTCTGCTGTGGTGTGTCTGTGGTCTGCAGCTCTGTCTGTGACTTGTGTCCCACCACAGGGCAGGGGCCTGGAAGTTGTTAGTGACAGGTAGAACAGAGCAGACAGTCTTAAACATGCTGCTATATAAAGTTGCTGAAGGAAAAATATGTGTCCCTGCTGCACAATTTTCTCAGTGTCTTGTATTTGTTAATGCAGTGCCAGAAAGTTCTTAGATTTAGGATTATAACAGCAAAGTCTTTGAAAAGTTCCCAAGCCTGGTTTGTACAGTTCCTGTTGGTAACATTTTGTTTTCTGCAGGTGCTGGAGACCTGTGTGAACAACTGTGGTGACAGATTTCACGGTGAAATAGCAAAATTCAGGTTTCTGAATGAGCTGATTAAAGTGCTTTCCCCCAAGGTAGGTGGTGGTGGTTACAGGGCCTTTCAGGATGAGAAATGCAGCCCTGCTTTATCAGAGGCTGTGGGATCTTCTGGCCGTGTTCCTGTGCAGCAGGGCAGGCCTGGGACTGCCTGAAGTGCCCTCTTGGCACCGCAGACATCGATTCCCCTTTTTGGTGGGTCCTGCACACATTTACCACTGTCACATGTTTCATTTTCCATTGCATCAGCCCGAGGGCAGAGCTGCAAAAAGCTGATTTCAGAGAAATGCTCAACTGAAGAACAAAACCCCTTCTCTCAGTCCCAGGCTTGGTAATGAAATTCTAGTGAAACCACAGAGTTTAAAGAATATGTCACTGCAAACAATTCTGTCTGCTGTTCTGACAGGACAGGCATCCTGATACGAGTTTGAAATGCCTGATCTTGGGTAGGTTTGTGTTTTTATAATATGTTAAAGTGAGAGCTCATAGGCAATAATAAGAGAAGTTGGAGAAAACATCCAGATGCTGATAAAAGCCCATAACTTTCTGGTTTTGTTCAGTTTTCCTGTGCCTGGGGCTGGCTGGGGCCAATGGTGGGATTGCATTGGAGCAGTTAAGGGAAGCAGTTAAAGCACAGATCTGTTTTCACTAAAATAAAACAACTCCTTTGGATTTTGGATTCAATAACTAATCAGAACAGTTTGAAGTCGTTTCATTTTGATTGTCATACAATATGTGTGTAATTACCATACATTCCTTTTGTTTACAGCCACAGTTGGATGCACTGTTCCCTAAACCCCAAAATACACCATTGACAGCCCTGTGAATAAACTCTTGTGAATCCATTTTCTCCTTGGTCTCTGGACACAAACCCCTCAGGGCCAGATCCCTGTGCCAGATCTGGCACCAGTGCTTTGGGTTTGACCCTAAAATTTTGTCTTTCTTTACCGTTTTGTTTTCAGTACTATGGAACTTGGTCTTCAGAAAAAGTCAAGTTGAGGGTCACAGAAGTGATATTCAGTTGGACAGTCTGGTTTCCTCAGGAAGTCAAAATCCGGGATGCTTATCAGATGCTGAAGAAACAAGGTTCAGTTCTGTTATTTCAGTTTCCTTTTTAGCCTCCCAAGCCATGTGGTTTCCCCCCCCCCCCAGATATCTGTCCCCTTCAATTTGTGACTCAGCTTTTTCCTAACGTGCTGTGTGTAAGGAACAGAGACAAAGGCCACACTTGCCAGGCTGGTTGGGTACTGAAGGATGCATGGAGCTGTTTAAAAGGATTTACCAAAGCACAGCCTCCCTGAGTCACAGCTCAGGCTGGCCTGGAGGCCTCTGTTCACACAGAGCTCACACTGTGAGCAGGGAAAAGGGACAGGACAAACTCAGAATGATCTTTGCCCTGGAATACTCTCCCAGGATTATGAGAGATGGGTTCAGAGGGTTCCTGAGCTGAATTTTTAATCCATTCCATTATATTTAATAGTCCTCAGTGGTAATCCAGAAATCCCAGGCAAAACCCTCCACACTGTTGAGCATCAGGGTTCCAGCAGCTCAGGCAGCACTGAACAGCTACTGTTACCTGTTCCAGGCATTGTTAAAGAAGATCCCAAACTACCAGAAGACAAAATTTTACCCCCCCCTTCTCCAAGACCTCAGAATTCTATTTTTGACACAGATGAAGAGAAATCCAAGGTAAACCTTAAGAGTTTTCATGATGCACCCTCTGATTTGTACTGATGAGAAAAGAGGCTTAGTAATATTTTGGGAGCTTATGCTGTTTCAAAGAAACTGTCTCAAAATAATGTTGATCCTTCCTGTGGTACAACAGCTAGAGAATGCTGTGAGGCTTTGTCAGAAATGTTTGCTTAGTAAAAAATGAAACTTCTTTATAGAAAAGCATCAGTTTCTATGAAACCTTCCCAAGGAAGGGCTTCTCCATGTCTTACAGAAGTTCTGCAGAGCCAGAGAGTTCCTAACCCCAACAGCCAAACTCTGTGCAGGCAGCATTATAACCTGAATTAGATCATGGGGCAGGAGCCCACATGTTTCCAGGATTACAGGAACTGGAGTGTCTCGTGTGTGATGTGTGCCTGTAGCACAGTGCCCAGGGGCTGCTGCTCACTGCTGTCACTGCTCACTGCTGTCCCATCTCTGCCCTGACAGCTCCTGGCCAGGCTCCTGAAGAGCAGCCACCCTGAGGACCTGCAGGCAGCCAACCACCTCATCCAGAGTGTGGTCAGAGAGGTGGGAGCTCCTGGGGGAGGGTGGGAGGGCATGTGGCATTCAGTTTTTGGCAGGAGACCCTCTGTACTGATCAGAATACAGCCCCAGAGGAGGGGCCATTTTCAGTCTTCATTATTCTGAATTTACAGTGTGGGACCATTTTGTTTTGTTTTGCTAAAATATGCCACTGCGAGGAAGAGGGAAGATGTGAATGTCTATTCCCAGGAGCCTGGGTGGTGGGACACTTCCCCATCAGTGGGATCCTGGCAGTAGGACTGCAGTAGGGGTAGGAAGTTTCCAAAATAAACTCAGTTCCTAGGTGGAAAACAGCCACATCTGTACAGAACTGCTTCTTTCCTGCACACAGTGTGTGTGTGCATGTCTGGCCTGTCCATTTTCCTGTTCCATCTGAAACAGCTCCCACTTCTCTGCTTATGTGGGAGATTTGGTTTAACAAATCCCTCTGGTCATTTTGAGCAGGTTGTTCTGTGTGGCACAAACCACCAACTCCCAGCTTGAGTTCTGAAGTCTCACTCGTGCCTGTGGTGAGATGGATCCTGTATGGACCAGCACAGGGTGCCCTGAGTGGGGCAGGGGGATTCTCTCTCTGCCCTTGGCATGGAGGGGGGATGCAGCTGGGGGCCTGTTCTCACCTGTCCTGCTTTGTGTCTCCTCTGCCTGCAAGAAGGTGTTTATAGGAAGGAACTCCCCAGGTGTGACCCAGAGTGCCCCAGCCAAGCCCATGCACTGGCTGTATCAGCCAAACCATCATCAACCTTTATTTCATTCTTCCTCACAGGAACAAGAAAGGTCAGCTCAGGTGTCCCGACGAGTGAACACCATCAGAGAGGTTTCTGAGAATGTCAGACAGATGGATGAGTTACTGGAGAACTACAGGAGACAAGAACTATCCCCAGCTGACCAGGAGACCCTGCAGGTAAATGTTCTTTTTTTTTTTGCATAAATGCTCTTCCTCCTCCCTCTGCTGGAGGGAGCATCACTTCCAGGTGATCACAGAGATCCAGGTGTGGGTGTGCCTGGGCTCTCCTGAGCAGTGACATGAAACATTCCACCCCCAGGCTCTGTCCCAGCGCTGTGAGAAGCTCAGGCCGCTGCTGTTCCGCCTGGCCAGCGAGGCGCTGGCTGACGACGAGGTCCTGGGTAAGAGAACCTGCACTTCTCTGCAGCTCAGTTTGTCACCCTTTGCTGTGACAGGGGTGTGTCTTTCCTCTGGGAGGGGAGAACTTGGGCACTCCACTTTCGCCATACCCAGGGCAAGGGCACTGAGTCTCCTGCTGCCCCTCCAGGAGGAAGCTGTTCTCACTTGCAGCCCAAAGTTAAACAGTGAATCTGTTTCTTCCAGCTGAGGTGGTTTCCAGAGTTTTTGGAGTTCTGATGTTCAGAGAACCGAAGGCTTTTGAGGCCTTTTCTCTGCAGAAATTGAAGTTCTTCCTGTCTATAAACACAGAAGGGAGAATGTTTTAAATTTTGTAAGTGTAATAGTGAGGAGGGTCATAAGAGCAGAATCTTTGAATTCCACAGTTGTGAAAGAGCCCTTCCCAGAGGATGGCATTACAGTCCTGTCCATATGCTTTGAAAACCTGACTGAGGTGCTGATTGCTGAACAGACACCCGAAAAAGCAACCACAAGAGCTCAGCTGTGCCTCACACCTTCCTTTCACATCCATGGATGCCAGGGCTCTTCAGCTGGGGAGTGCTGGATCATAGACTCGAGTACACTGGGAAAAATGCAGAAGAAATGGCAGGAACTAGAAGTGCTTTAGAGATGGGATCAGATTTCACAGTGATCTTGCTAAATGACAGAGAGGTCTGAAATCAGCAGCAGTGTGTGCAGAATGGAATGAAAGGCAAGTGAGGAGCTGAGGACAGGCTGCTCCACCGGCCTTCGCTCCAGGCAGGTCCTCAGGTGCTCTGTCCCTTTCTCATGAGCAGTTTGGAGAGTGCTGTGGGACTGCCCTGCCCTTCCCTAGCACAGCAGTGTTTTGTGGGACTGCCCTGCCCTTCCCATTAGCACGTCAGTGTTCTGTCTGTCCTCTGTCCCCAGCTGAGATCCTGCAGGCCAGTGACGAGCTCACGCGGGCGCTGGGGCGGCACAGGCAGCTTGTGACCCACCAGGAGAACGATGGAGAGGGTTCATCCTCCAGCTCTGCCCACGTGCCAGGTGAGGGGCACCAGCAGCTCTGCTCCTGTGTGCCAGCGGGGAGGGGTTTGGAAGGGAATAAATGTGGAGAACAATCTCATAACACAGGAAAAACATGTAGCCATCATCACCTTTTGCATATGAGCCACTGACAGCAATGTTCCTCTGGCTCTCTCTGTTCCTCTGACTCTCTGTTCCTCTCTGGCTCTCTCTGTTCCTCTGGCTCTCTCTGTTCCCAGTGTTCCCACCAGCCCCGCGGCGCATGAAGAGCTACACCCTGATGGACTTCTCCGAGCTGGAGGCCACAGCCCAGACTGCCACAGAGCCCTTTTCAGACACAGCCCCGGGCTCCCGCCACGGCAGCACAACCTCCACATGCCTGCTGGAGGAGGAGTTACAGTCCTTAGGTCTGTTCCCAGTTCAGTGCTACCCTTCTCACTGGGGTTCGTGGGGATTCATAAAGAGAGGAGAGCTTTGACTTTAGTGTCAGTCCCAAGAGAAAGTGGAGCCTTTCAGTCCTATGTTTTCAGGAATAGTGTCTCTAGTGGTGTTAGACTGTAGCCAAACCACTGTTGGACAGCAAAGGAACAACCTGTGGAAAACCCTTGTATTCTGTAAATTATCTGTGGCATTTTGGCATCTTTCTTAGGTCTCAGCAATTCCCCTGTTGTACAGAAACCGCCACCCAATTTTGGCTTAGCAGAGGTGAGTGATGCTCAGATACTTAACAGTCCATGAGGTATAAAGGACAAAAATCAGAGGTGATTCCTGCTCTGGCTTTCTCTGGCAGCCTTTTTTACACTACTTTATAATGAAGGGAAACTGGAATCCACCTGCTCTCAGTGAATCTTGCAGTTGCAGTTTGCAACCAAATTACTCGTATTTATTTCTATTTTAAGTAGTAGTATTAAAAACAAGGTTCTTTTCAGGGGAACAGGGGTTTTTTTGCTGATATTCTATAGCATGAACCTGAAGTGCCTTATTTTCTAGCCTGCTGTATGCAATGAATATAGTGAAGCTGTAAGTGCTTCTCAAACCCTGGGACCACAGGAGAGCTGGGAAGGCAGCTGTGCAGGGAAGAGTGAATTCCAGGGCCTGAACGAAGAGCTCTCTCCACCATCCAGGAGCAAAACATTCTCTTTGTAAGCAAACTCTGTGTAATACAGTCAGATTTTGGGGTGGAGGAATACTGGTTTACAGCAGGGAGGTCTGGGAAAACCTTTCACCTGCCCCTGGTTGGGGATGGCAAGTGATCCACCTGCACATTGGGTCTCTCCTGCAGTTGTGCACCTGTTAATTGCAGTTTGTGTAATTGCACACCAAGGCCTTCCAAGGGTCAGAAACTTGGGGAGACAAATCCCATTGCCTGGTAACAAGGTGATGTTGAGCTAAAGGAACAAAAGCCTTACAGTCAGGTCTTTTTATAATAACCTGTCACTCAGAAAGTACTTTCCTCAGCTTTCTCCAGACTGTGGCAAAGTCATTTCCAGGCATACAGTGGAAGCTTGGAACAGCTCACAAACCAAATAATCCACAGATCTTCAGAGCAGGGGATGTTACAATATGCTTATCCAGTCTGCCATAATATAGGAAATTTTACTGGAGATTCCCAGCTTCTTCCAATGTCTTTGAGCTGGAATTTACTTTAATCTCCCTGATGAGGGTTCCAGGGAAGCTGTGCACAGGGAGGGCAGACTTACAAAGCTCTAAAACTAAGTTTCACTATAGTAACAGAATCAAAATCTGCCTCAATGAATTTTGAAACAGCAACATGTTCCATATGAAATAGAGAGAATTTTTGAATTTCTCAAGAACTCAGAGTGTAAGCTTGTAGTTTCTTTATACCTAAAGGGGATGAGGGATTGGGAATAGAGACAAATACGGCAGAAGATGGTATATCTCATGTAGTGTCCCCAGTTAATATAAGCTCTCTACATGCTTTTCTTTCCAGGGATTTCTCACCAATGAAATTGCCCTTTCCAGATCTCCCAAATAGCTCAGTGGCAGATCCTCCACTCCCCAGTCCAGGCTACGAGCTGAAGCCTGCTGCCTCTTTGCATCCAGCTCCCTGTGATGCTTCTCTAGAAAACCTTTTTGTCCCTTTAATTTCAATTACACCGAGTAAGTGCAATCATTCTGTGCACCAGCTCTGCTTACTAGAGGGTTACTAGAGCTCTTGGTTTTGCAGGGAAGCAGCCAACATACCTTCATGCTGTGTGGGTCAGCTGGAGACAAGTAAGGATTGTTCTATGAAGGGCTTAATGCGTCTGAGAATTTGAGCAGGTGCTAAGGATCATGGCATGGAAATGTCCTTGTCCTCCCTACTCATTAGTCAGGGGTTTCCTGTCCTGGCTGATCTTTGCAACGTGCTTCTGAACTCTCTGGCCTTCACACCTTCAATCAAGCTGCAAGCAGTTCTTCTACAGGGACCTAAAGACAGCTGTGAGTGGGAGTTGTCCCACTTCCCGAAGCAGAGCTGTTCCTTCCACCTCTGCTGTTCCATTTCCCACTGTATGGCCCAGCCCTGCAGCCCCTTCCCAGAGTGTCACCTGGCTACGTGTCACCCCAGGGGCTCAGCACAGGGCATGTCCTGCTGACAGGGCCACAGAGCCTTGGCCCTTGCTGCTGCTGGGAGAGGAGAGCTGCAGAGACATCCTGACCTGGTTGTCTTCTGCCGTCAGCCTCAAGTGGAAGGTTTAGCAGATTTTGGAAGGGCTGGATGGTGATGGTCAGGTGTGGATTTGCCAGGCAGTGGTGGTAAGGGGACAAGTCTTGTGTGTGCCAAAGAAAAGCACTTTGCTTTTCCCATCATATCTCTGTTGTGTCCACACCTGACATCTCTCGCTGGCAGATGAAACCTGCTGCTGAATCCCCAGTGCAGGCATTCAGATCCTGGCTTGGCCTTAGAGCCAAGAGTAAATCAGGGGCAGGTGCTGTATGCTGCTTGGTCTGTGAGTGTGATGGAGGAAGTAAAATTTGTTTGTGTGATTTCTTTTTGCTGTTCCTTATCCCATCTTTCCTGTTCTGCCCTTGGACGGGAGGGGAATGCCAGCTTTGATTCTGATTCTCCTTTTGTCTCTGGCAGGCAGTCTCTCTCCACTCACTGTGTACGACAGGAATGGTTTCAAGGCCATGCTCCACTTTTCCAGAGACCCAGCTCCCGGCCGGCCAGACGTGCTGGTGATGGTTCTGTCCATGCTGAGCACCTCAGCTCACCCCATCAAGGACATAGCATTCCAGGCTGCAGTCCCAAAGGTGAGAAGCCTGTGACGAGGAGCAGAGATGCTCAGAAATGTCCTGAGGAGAAGGTTCACCATTTCTTGCTCGGTATTTGCCTTCCTCACGGGAGGTTGTG